AAGAGGAAATCCAAGCTGCTCTGAAGGAAAAACCAAGGCCCCAAGAATTGATGGAATACTGATTGACATATTTCAGCATATAGATGCAGCTCTGGAAGTGCTTACCATGCTGTGCTAAGAAATTTTGAGGACAACTGGCCAACGTCAGCAGAGTGTAGAAATTATCAGACAGTCATGACATGCAAGCAAAATCCTGCTGAAGAGTATCCAAAAGTGGAGAACTGCCAGAAGTGTAAGCTGGGTTTAGAAGAGGCTGTGCTACTAGGGACATCATAGCCAATATCAGAATAAAACACGGAAACACTGCATGGTTTAAAATCAGGAAAGAAATGTGTCAGGTATGTAGCCTGTCTCCATACCTTTTCAATCTGTATGCAGAACAGATTATTCGGGAGGTTCCTCTTTATGAGCTTTGTGGCATTAGGATTGAAGGAAGATTCATCAACAACCTGCACTGTGCAGATGACACAACATTATTTGCTGAAACTGGGAGGACCTGAAGCGCTTGCTACAGAAGGTCAAGGACTTGCAGTCTCTAATACGAATTGAAGCTCAACATCAAGAAAAAAAAAATAAGATTCTCACCACTAGGCAGATTGACTAAATTCTTCTGAATGTTGCAACACTCCATTTGCTGCAGTGAGGTAATCTGGGTTTGCTGTGATGCTGAATCTCGTGCCCCCCCTGGGGGGCAGATGTCATAATGACTTTCCAGGGTGGACAGTGTTTGTTGGAGCTCCCACTTTAAGACATGTTTGGAAGCAGGAGTGGCATCCACTTCCTAAACCACATGCCTCTTTAAACTTGGAGAAACGATGATAGGTATAGGTATAGGTATAGAAAGGTTTCAGACCTTTTGTTCATAGGTTCGCTATGATCTGTGCTCGACTAGACAGCATTTAACAACAACATCTAAAAAAGCATTTGGTCACCAGTATGGAGCTGGAATCCAGGTTGGGAAGTCATCTGGAACAGCCAGATTCTATAGAGGTTTGTTTTCTGGTTTTGGTGAGAATTTGGGAGGAATGTTTACTCGCCATTGGGTGTGAGTTGATTGTATTTGGCCTCCAATTGGAAAAAAAATTTGGGCCCTCAGGCCTGATTTTAGTTGTTTTTGGTCAAACATTCTTCTAAGTGGTATAGCACTGGTCTGTGGTTGTGATGCTAAAAGCACTGTGACACTGATGTGTCAAATGCGATAATGGTTACCTATGGTGTTTGGTGGAGCTCCCTGAATAAAACAAGCTCGGAAGCAGGAGGGGCATCCATTTCCAAAATAAGCTTGCTTCTGGAAACCCTAAGAACTTGGAGAAACGATGAAAGTTATACAATTGTTCAGGTCTTTCTTAGGGTTACTATGAGTTGCCTGGACTTGAAGGCAATTAATTAATTAACAGGCCAATTGACAGCATCAGGATAGATGGAAAAGAGATTGAGGAGTAGGTGTGTTGGAGACAGACTGGCTAAGAATAGGGGAGGGTTTACAACTGTTGTGCGTAGGGTAGGTATCAATTGCAAGTAATTTTATGGAATATAATAACAGCTACCATAATTAGAATACAAGTAATATTTGACCATTAAAGGAAGAGTTCAAGGGCTTCTATTTAAGTCTTAATAAATGGAATGTTTTCCTATCTTTATGATGTTAAACTATTTTACTCTGGTTTAATATATTCTAACAAGACCTTCATTGTTTTCCATTTAAGTGAATTTCTTACAGTTGTCAGTAGATCTTTGGTTAGGCACCTGGTTTATCCATTTACTTCTCATCCAGCTTCAACTACTACCAACTTTTGTTTTTATTAGCATAGTTCTTAAGAAGTTGCACTGCTAATCCAAAGGCTTTGCCAGTCTGAATTCACTCAGGACTCTCAAGGGAGGTGAGCAATTGCCTCCCGTGCGGTGTTACCTAATCTACCGACTGCTGGTAGGTACCAAGGGATGGTAGATCCAAATAAAACTTAATTTTTGACAGCTTCAATCTTTTCTCCTTCTATCGTGATGTTGCTTATTGGTCCAAGTGTGGAGATTTTTATTGCTTTGATGTTGAGGTGCCATCTGTATTGTAGGCTGCAGTCTTTCATCTCCTGTATCAAGTATTTCAAGTCCTCCTCAGTTTAAGCAAGCAAAGTTGTATCATCTGTGTATTCCAGGTTGTTGATGACTCTACTTATTACACATATTTTTATAAGGATTTTTTTGTCTGCTTTAACACATTGCTGTAAATGACGGCTATAGCCACCCTGCACATTTTAAGTTATTAAAAAAGGAACATCATTCGTATGAAGTGTACTATTACATTTATTTGTTACTCAGTAATACATAAAAAAAGTGTTCCTAAGCACCGCCATCTATTTAAAAGTGTGCAGCAGCGTGTTAATACATCTGAAAAGAATGCATGTATAAAGAATTGAGACATGAGAAAGAATTTGTTCAACGCTGATGAATCTGTAAGAGGAATTTTAAAAGATGTCAGACATTAACAATAAAAAAAAGTTGACAACAAAGTGAGCTGATAAATCCCTGTGAACACTCGTCAAGAATCTTCAAAAGGAGCCTTGATTCATTAAAGAGCTAGGAAAGGTGATAGAGGTAGGGGTGAGGCAAATCCCCTTATTTCTGTTTTACATGAGGAACCCTAGGGCAATCAATTGAAGAAGCTCTGTAGTTGAATAAAAACCATGGAAAAAGTCCTTGTTTAATCTTGCTCCCATATTCTTTTTCAAAGAGTAAAACATCTTTTTTTGGTTTGTTTTTTTTTTTTTAAGAGTGCACCTTCTTGAATGATTTGCCCAGCATATAGATGGAATAGGTATGGAGAGAGCCTTTCTTAATTTTAAACCATATAGTGCTCCCTAGCCCTTTTTGTACAGCAGCTTTTTGGTCTAAGTATCTGTTTCACTGAAACATAATTAAGTGTTTTGGGGTTCTCATTCTTCTCACCTTTATCTGTGATTTGTTAAGATCCACATAGTCAGATGTTTTTTGCATAGTCAATAAAACACAAAGAAGCTTTGTTATTTTCTGCTTCGGCCATGATGCATTTGACTTTAGAACTGGTATATCTGATGTCATGGTCGTTTCTAATCCCATGCACTTCTAGAAGCTCTCTGTCAGTGTACTTTTCTCGCAGTTTGTGGATGATTTTCAGCAGTATTTTGCTTGTATGCAATATTAATGATACTGTTCAAGAATTTCAACATTCTCTTGGATCATATTTCTTGTAAATGAGAATAAACATGGATCTCTTCCAGTCAGTTGGCCAAGTAGTTTTCCTCGAAAAAGTAGTAAGGAATTGCACTGACGGTGCAAAGGTGTGCCCCATTTGAATCTGCCTAACACTCCAGAGAAGAAAACTGGTTCTGAAAACTCACAGGAGGGTTAGCTATTGGTTGTTCCCAAATCATCAGTACACAATGACAAATGTTTTTGGAAGTTAGATTCAAGACAAAACTAGACATGTTTGTCTTACTAGCATGTAATTTTAGTTGCAGAACACAGAAATTGAGAGACTTAAGACTGTTCACCCTTTCTGTTTGAAAATGTAACTTTTATAAATTGATGCTTTTTTAAAAACTAAGCTCTTAATCTGTTTCTGTTCAGCTTTTAGTTTACTGTTGCCTTTATACGTATAAAATACATTAATGGAGAGATGTATTTATATTACCATCTCAGGTTAGTTTGAATCTGAATTTAGATAAGACTTTAGTATTTATTATAAATACAAAATAGTTTTGCCCTCTTCTTATACTATTTCTCACAAATTTCAGAGTACAGACATGAAGTCAACATTTTTTCATCAGTTTTAATAAAATAAAACTTTATAATGGACATAAACAATTTTTTTTTGCCATTAAGTGTATATATATGAAAACTTAGTGAAGCTATTTTTGTTTTCTTCTTCAGAACATGTGGATATCCCAGGTTATTATAAAATTTTTCTTTTTCTTTCTCCCTCATATCAGACTGAATTATAAATACGCATTTATTAGAAGTTATGCTGTGAGTTAAAGTTTTTCCAATGTTTCTGCTCTCTACTATTAAGCTAAAAGTTAATTTTGTAAGTTGTTTGGTTTGAAATCATGCTTGTTAGAAAAGGCTAATATTTTAGGGCATTATTTTTATCGTAGGAGTACGCAATGAGGGTTGCAGAGTGGATTATATTTGGGGGTAGGGCGTGGGGTTTGGGGAGGTGCGGGGGGATTATGTACCAATGAGGGAGTTTTTCTTTTGCTTTTCAAGGAGAGGAGCAAACCGGGGGGAGAAGGGTACAACAATGAATGAATGGAATTCCAAAATCTCTGTAGATGTTCATTGAAATGAAAAATAAACAAACTAAATTAATTAAAAAATGCGTATTTAAAAATATTTTCAGATGTTGTAGTGATGATTTTAAAAATGTAACATTTTTATTTGAGTATAAAATAATATTTTCATATAATTCATATGCATTTTGTTTTATAACATTTCTTAGTTGGTTAATGCACTGTAGTTAGTTATAATGTCTTGTTAACACCATATTATAATTGCTTTTCCCTTCATCCACAATTAATTTTCCCTTTTCTTCCCTTTCAGTCCTTAATAGCCATCCAAAATTGTTTCTGTGTGTAAACCTTTCATTATCTTTTGATAATAGTTGCCTTTCACCATAATTGTCTTTTTATCTGTCTTACCCCACTCAGCATAATTTCCTCTACATTCATACATGTCATGCAGAGTTTCTTAAACTTTATTTTTGTTCCTTAATGTTGTGTGGTACTTTATTGTGTGACTGCCCCATCCTATTCATTTGTCTGCTGATGGACCCTTGGTTTCTTTCCTTAATGTTGTGTGGTACTTCCTTGTGTGACTGCACCGTCCTATTCATTTGTCTGCTGATGGACCCTTGGTTTCTTTCCATCTCTTTGTTGTCTTAATGAACTTTGCTATTATTGTGATCCTGATACTTGTATTGAGAGTATTTTTTCCTTACCTTAGTGTCTTAGAAAGAAGACATCATCATGGCTACAGAAATTGGTTCTCCTCCTCGTTTTTTCCATATGCCAAGATTCCAGCATCAGGCACCTCGACAGCTCTTCTATAAACGACCAGATTTTGCCCAACAGCAAGCAATGCAACAGCTTACCTTTGATGGAAAACGCATGAGAAAAGCTGTAAACCGAAAAACTATAGACTACAATCCATCTGTAATTAAATATTTGGAGGTGAGTGTTTCAGATGCTCAAACTTTGTTTTAAAAGAAAAAAAAAAATCTCAGTGTTAACAAGTGTGCTTAAATCAGTAGGATGAGATGGATTTTAAAGTGATACCATTAGCTCCCCCAAACTAAAACACAATCAGTCCACCCTAAGCCTGCTGTTAATGCCTGACAACCCTCCATCAGATTTCAAAACCTTTATAATTTTTATGAGAGTAGATGGTTTTATCTTGCGCCTACTACATGACAGTTTGATTTGAATGGCCTACTGATTGGTTTGTAGTAACCAGGGCTTTCATGAGGCCACTTAAATAGGGCCTCTAATCACCAGTCCAGCACACCCACTCACGCCGCCCCCCGCCCCCCCCAAGAAATCATCATAGAATTAAGGTAGAGTTAAATTTCAGGGTGAAAATAGGTTCTGTTCTATAGATTCATGAAAATGTCAGCATCTTTTTATTAAACTCATAGATGAATTGGAAAAACAAAGAACAAAAATAACTATCAACATCAACCAGTTCTTTGGGACTGGACAAAGAACAAGACTCTCTAATCCTCTGATGGTAGGTAAATCCAGTCAGGGCAGGGGCCTTTATTCCTTGAGTGTTGAGCACCAGCTATAGGCTTATGGGAGAAAAGTAACTCCAGGTGGGTAAGTAAAGGCAGAATAAGGATCTGCCCAGACCTCTTGCATATTCTCTTTTCTTAACCTGAGAATTAGCTTTTGTGATCTATATATTTCACTTTTATTGAATTTTGGTCTGCTTTAATATCCTGTGCAAATCAGTCTGCATGTCATTGCTTTAGATTTATGAGAAAAGATTTCTTTGCATACAGGCAAAATGAGCTTGTTTCGGATATAGAGGATAAAAAGATTCAGAGGTTAAAAAAAGTAACATGTTAGGCAATTTTAAGTAGTAGCTTTAGTACCTGTCTAACATTGGGAGGGATAATGATCAGGCTTAGCCTAAAGCTGATACCTAAGAGTTGTCAGACATACTTTTACTCCTCCCTTTTTACAAATTCTTACATCAGCCATTTCTCTCTCTTGTTAGTCTCCTGCTTCTGTTTTTGCCAGTATGCTCCAATGACCATATAGACCATAGTAATAGTTAAAGGGTTTTAAATGGAAACAACAGCTCAGGATCAGTATTAATAGGCTACAACAGAGATTGTTGTTAGTGCCATCAAGTCACCTGTAACTCCTAGCAACCTTATAAACCACAGAGCTGAAATTTGCTCTATCCTGTGTCATTTCCATCCTCATGATCTTGGATATGTTGGAGCCCATTGTGGTAGTCACTATGTCGGTCCATCTTGTTGAAGTTACTCTCTTTCACTCACCCTCTTCCTTTCCCAGCATCATGTCTTTTTCCAAACAATGATTCTTCTTGAAAATAGACACAACATTAGATGAGGTATCTGCCGCGTTCCAGCCCTGCCAGCGGGATAAAGGAAAACACGACACTGGGATTTGTTGCAGTTCGATGCTTCTTTATTCTGGTGATTCAAAAAGCTCTCCGCCCTTCTGCCTGTGTCCTCTTATATACCCTTAGCCCAGATAGCTTCTAACCTAATTCCTATTGGCTCTTACTCTACTAGCCTAACTATTCCTATAGGTTAATACTAACACTTAACACTATTTCATTGGCCGAAACTTAACTCTAATTATCCAATCAAAAACAGACACAAATTCTTCCGACCCACAGAAAATCTTGAGTCATACTTTCCATATTGCTTAAACACCTTTGGCTCCCGCAGGTATCATCATTCTTGCATCTAAGAAACACTCTAATTGCACTTCATTGAAGACAGATTTGCTTGTGCTTTTGACAGCCTATGGGATATTCAGTACTCTTCACCAACTCCACAATTCAAAAGCATCAATTTCTTATGTCATCCTTATTTATGGCTAACTTTTAGATGTGTAAAAGCAATTAAAATACTAACAATAAAAAATTAATTTTTATTTTAAAATTAAAAAGCTTATTTCTTAAACTGACATCTTTGCTCTTACTTTAGAGAGGTCCTTGACAGCAGATTTCTCCATTGCAGCATATCTTCATTTCTTGACTGCTACTACCATAAGTATTGATAGTGAGTCTAGGTAAAATGAAATAATTGACAACTTCAGTGTTTTCTGTCATGATTCTACCTTTAAGTCTAGTGGTGGGGATTTTTGTTTTCTTGATGTTGAGGTATAGTTCTTCTTGAAGGCTGTAGTCTTTGATCTTCTATAAGTGTTTAAAGTCTTTTTTACTGCAGTTGTGTCTTTGTCATCCCTGATGCCCCACATTATTCTTCATAGAGTTCACCTTCTCAGATTATTTACCTTGCATGCAGTTTGAATAGGTATTGAGATGGGATACAACCGCTGTGCACACCTTTTCTATTTTTATTTATTCATTCATCGTTGCACATTTTCCTCCCTGTCCTTCCCCCAGTCCACACTGAAATGCACCTCATGTTCTAGATTGTTGCCATACATATCTTACCTAATCATATATTTATTTCAAACAGTTCTTTCCTCATCTGTTCCAATGCAGTGTTTGTTATCTATCCTCTCTTTTCCTACTCTCCATCCAACCCCATGTCAATCCTATTTTTTAACAGCGGTGTTACGCAGTATGTACCCTTTTATGACTGACATCTTTCACTCAGCATAATGTCTACAGGTTCACCCATGTTGTGTAATGTTTTACAAGTTCATGATTTTTCAATGCTGCATAATATTCCAGTGTGTGAATTTTCTATCCATTTGTTGTTGATGGACACTTGAGTTGCTTCCATCTCTTTGCTGTTGTGAATAATGCAGCAGTAAACATGGGAGTCCATATATATATGTTTGCGTCATGGCTCTGGTTTCTTTAGGGTATTTTCCTATTAGTGTGATTGCTATCTTTTCTAGTTTTTGTTTGTTTATAAACCATACAATATTTCTTCATACTGTTTGGACAACTGCTTCTTGATCTTCGTGTAGGTTTCCCATGAGCACTGTTAATTGTTCTGAGATTCCCATTCTTCTGAATGTTACCTATGATTTCTTTGGATCCACACTGTCAAGTGCCTTTCCATAGTCAATAAATAAAACATAAGTAAATGTCTTTCTGATATTCTCTGCTTTCAGCTAAGATTCATCTGATACCAGCAGTGACGTGTCTTGTGCTAAGTCCTCTACAAAATCCAGCTTGAATTTCTTACATTTCCCTATCAGTGCACTGTTGCAGCTGTTTTTTAATAGTTTTTAAGATTTTACTTTCATATATCACTAATGATGTTCCATCTTTGGTCTTCGTGGTTGGTGAATATATTTGATTAGTAGTTTTATTAAGAGGACTTCCTTGTATGAATATGAATAGAAATGTTAGCTTTGATTGTGAATGCCTCACATTCCACCACAGTTTGTCATTTCTGGGATAATAGATGATGTGATTATCTGATTCAGATTGGCCACTAACAATCCTTCTTAGCTTCCGTTATTATTTTTTGACAACTTTTGATATTCATAGATTCAGGCTTTATATATTCCATGTTCCAGTTATTAATGGTTGTTTGGAGTTGTTTGTCCTCCTTTTGAGTCTTGCCACACTAGCATTTGAAGGACCTTGATGGGATTAAAGCTTTATTCCATCTGGGTCATTATGGTAGACTCTAGTTAGAAGAAACAGCTCTTCCCTGCTCTTATTTTGAGTGCTTTCCAATGTAAGTGGGTCATCTTCTGATACTGTATACAACCATGTTCTTCTGTAGTTCATAGTTTTTTCAAAGTCTAGTTATTTCAGAAGTTGATGGCCAGTCCTACTTCTTACTTTTTCTTTTGCGAGATCTTACTCTTGTCTGCCCTGGGTGACCTGCTGGTATTTGAAATACCAATGGTGTAGATTCCAGTATCAAACAGTAACGCAAGCCAACACAGTTACAGCGTAGGATTAGGATCAGTGAATATGTAGCTGGAAGTTCTTTGCAGAGTGGGGCAGCTCACTTATCTTTAGACCAAGTAAGCATGTTGGTTTATTTCTGTGCTGTGCATGCCTCCTCTTAGCCTGTGGGCCTATCCTCAGATATCTTTTGTCTCTGCAGTCAGTCGCCACTGACTGTGGACCTAGGTTACTTACTTGTATTGTACCTCTTTTAGGAGGTTCTTTGCTTCCTTTCTACTTATTTTTACTTTTTTTTTTTATTTTAAAAACCTCTGGGGGTTTTGACATTATGTATGTGTATATATATATGTGTGTGTGTATATATATATGTGTGTATATATATATATGTGTGTATATATATATATGTGTATATATATATATGTGTATGTGTGTGTATACACACACACACACCCACCCCCCGCAGGGGGTTTGACTCTCACTCAAATTCATATTCTCTTGCTCGCTTGCTCACACACACCCCTCCTTCCAAATGAGTCTGTCAGTAGGCCACAGACACTGACTATAGGTACTTCACTTGCTTGGTTTATAGGATCTTCATTTCCATAATATATTGATCTGTTCTCTAGTCACAGAGCAGGTTACAGCCAAGAGCCAGACAAAGACTGAATTTTTATTTATTTATAGACAGTTAACCCAGAAAGTATCAGTCATCTCGCACAAAAGTTAACAACCTTCTGGAGTAGAAAATGAAGACACATAACTCCTTAGGGATTAAGAGGGAAATCTCAAATTGTTTTCCTAAAACCCAGTAGTTGAAAAACCACATAAAGGATTAATTTGGGGAATTAAGTACAAAGAGGAGTTTAATACAAATGCAGACTACCAGGAACAAAATCATGAGAAGTTATTTATGCAAGGTATTTTGGAGGAATTTGGAATGATTTGTATACTCTTGTTTGACTTTTCTTTTATTGCAGCATTGGTAGGTCATTTGTGAGATTATTTTGGGATCCACAGTATATTGGATGAGTGGGTGGGTGTTGATATGTGTAGTGGGAAATTCTAAGCAGTGCCAATAGGATAAAGTGGAAAATTTTTAAGAAAAATAATACTTTTGAAGTAAAAAATTAACATTTGAACCTATTCTGAGTGAAATATAGCTTACTTTTTGTTAGTAATTTAAATGAAATACCAGTAGATTTTATGCTCATATTGTGTTTATTTTTTTTTAACAGAATCGAATATGGCAAAGAGACCAGAGAGATATGCGAGCAATTCAGCCTGATGCAGGTTATTATAATGATGTACGTGAGACGTCTCATACTAGCAGATAGAAAACTTGTTAAGATAATTTCCATCTAAAGATATGTGAACTCTAATTCAAATTTAGGCTTTTAAAAAGTAAGATACAAAGAAAAAATTAAGATACATAATATAAAAAGTAGTAAGTAATTTTTATTTTGACTGGCCTTTAACTTGGAATGATTGAAATCAGAATCTATCAAAAGGATAAATTGCCTAAAGATCTGTGTAATAATTCTTATTTCAAGCTAAATTATGGCAAACAATATTTAATTGTGTTAACTGGAAGTAGTAATTTGAGAAATTTAATCAGTTATTTTGTTTAATTATAATTAATAATGTATTTAATCTTTTGTATTTGTTTTCATCATTAATTTATAGCCTTTTCGGTTTAGTTTTTAAAAATTTAATGTTTTAAAGAAATTGTTTGATTTTACAAATTGGTTTTTCATGCAGTCATTCATACGTTGCTTTATTACATTAATCATTAATTAATTAAATTTCTGACCATTTCCTTACTGTATATTTCCTTTCCCATCAGCCAACTTAAAATATTTGTTGTTTACTCTTCTCTCTTCCCATCCCTTATAATTGTGCTAGAGTGATTCTGTGTAAACCTGGAAAAGAATGTGTATTATAATACTCTTTGTGGTTAGAGTCGTCTATGTATGTCTAAGGGATCCAATTGTTTAATTGTGTTAGTGCTTTTGTGTCTTTGTCAAGTTTCTTGTTCTCTCTCCTTTACTGTAGGCTGTGTAATAAATTTTCTACTGTTACCTGTTTTTTCATAGAAATCTATTTGATCTCAGTTTCTTGGCTTTACTAAGTCTTGGGATTGGTAGGTGTTCTTGTTCGGTGTACTCTTTGATCGTTATTTAATATCCATTGTCTCTTACACTGGCTCTTGCCTTGAAGCCTATTTATCACAAATTAATATTGCCACTTCAGATCTTTACTCCTGTTTTTTCTACTTTTTAAAAAATTTAAATAAAATTTTTATTATATACTGGTTTACAATGTTCATATATGTTGTTTTTTTAGACTAGATCTTTCCCATTTCCTTTACCTGTCCCTCCCTCCCTCCATCAAATTGTGCAACTCAGAGATTAACATCATACCCCCCCAATTTCACCCTTCTGTTCCCACCTTCTCCCCCTTGGATCCTTATACATGTCCTTTAATAATGGTCTTATTATGGAGTCTTTGTCCTTAAGGGATTGAGTTGGTTCACTTAGCATAAGGTTTTCTAGTCCCTCCCAAGTTAGGTAGTGATTTACAGAATCATTTTCCTGTGTGCTGTGTAGTATTCTGTCTTGTGAATGTACTGTAATTTCTCAATCCATTCTATGTACTGTAATTTCTCAATCCATTCTACTTGATTGAACATTCCATGTTCTTGTGATGGTGAACAACACTGCTGTGAACATGGGTGTATAAGCCTCCATTTGTGCCTCAGTTCTCATTGTTTTTTTCACTTTTTTTATTTTGAAATTTTCTTTGTTTTTCTAAAATGTCTCTTGTAGATAGCACATTGATGTTTTCTTAGTGATTCTCCTACTCTTTCTCTTGACTATGCATTTATTCCCGTCACATTCAGTGTTATTGATACTGTTGTTGTTGTTGTTGTTGTTGTTGTTAGGTGCCGTCGAGTCTCTTGCGGCTCATAGCGACCCCATGTACAACAGCCCTAAACTCTGCTCTGTCCTGTGCCAATCGCACTGTTTCTGACACTCCCATCCCGGAATCAATCTACCTCATAGAGGGCCTTCCCCTCCTGCGCTGTCCCTCCACCCTCCCAAGCATGATGTCCTTCTCCAAGGAACTGTCCCTCCTTACAACATATCCAAAGTATGTTAGACGGAGCCTCAGAATCCTTGCCTCAAAGGAGCCACCAGGTTTAATGCTTTACAGGATGAATCTGTTTGTTTTCCTAGCAGTCCATGATACATTCAATATAAGCAGCCTGAACTACTTCTTTCATCACCATAGGCTCAAATGTTGTTTCATGAAATTCTTCTGTGTCTGCCAATTCCTTTTGATACAATGACTCAGTATATTCTTTCCATCTTCTTTTAATACTTCCTGGATCATTTACTATTCTGCCCAAAGCATCCTTGATTATAGCAACTTGAGGTTTGAATTTGTTCTTCAGTTCCTTGAGCTTAAGAAATGCTGAGAGAGTTCTGCCCTTTTGATTTTCTGACTCCAACTCCTTGCACTTTTCATTATAATGTTTTACTTTGTCATCCCGTGCTGCCTTTTGAAATCTTCTATTCAACTCTTTAGTATCTTGAATTCTTCCTTGTGCGCACCAGTGCAATTTTCAGAGTCTTCTGTCATCCATTTTGGTCAGCTTAGATTAATTCCTGTCATTTTAGTGCTCTCATTCTTAAAACTTGGCTGATTTCTAAAAAAAAAAATAAATAAAACTTGGCTGATTTCTTTGTTCTGTCTGCTTTTCTGCATTTTGTTGAGGACTTGTCTTATAATTTACTTATTTTTTTTGTATTATTAATTTTGCTGACAGTCTTTGAGTGTATTTTGGTTTTATAATTTTCTTCTGATTTACTTTTAGGTATACACGTGAATTGGTTTCTCATCCAACAGTTCTTATACATTACATTCCCTGGTAGTCATTTCAGTACGCACATTGTGACAGCACTCTTTCCATTTTCTCTCTTGTTATTTTTCAGGTCCACTCAGATTTCTTTCTTATCCAGAGATATTTATCATTGTGCAAATGATGCCCTTTTGATTAGCAACATAATACTCTGTTGATGAGGCCACCAGAACTCCTCACAAAAACTTCCCTTTTGGTCACATAACAGTTGAAGTTTTAAAGAGTGTGTTGCTTCTTGGTGTTACTAATTATTTTTAGGTCTGTCTACTGGCTTAAAGTTGAGTCACTGAGATCATTTCAGTCTAGGTTTGAAGGATAACTAATGGCCTGTGGAGGATCCATTTTACCCCAGATCTGTTAGCTTTCCTGGTTTTTTGTGATTTGGATTTTGTTCCACATTTTCCCCCATTCTCTTCGGTCCTTCCTTTTGTGATCCCTTTTAAGGATGTCAGCAGGGGGAGCCATGAACTAAAGTTCAAGTGTTCCATTAGGTTTAATAGTTTTTGTTTTAATATATAGTGGCCTAGTGGTAGATGTTGCTAGTGATAGAATATTATTCATATATGTAAAAGGAAGAACTATAGATACTATTATTCAAATATATGCCAACAGCTAAAGCCAAAAAGGAGAAAATTGAAGATATTTACTAATTTTGCAGTACAAAATTGACCACACATGCAATCAGGATGCATTAATAAAGCTTGGTGATTGAAATGCAGACCTTGGTGGTTGGAATGCAGAAGTTGGAAACCATGAAAAAGGAAGGGTTTAGTGTTTCCCATATCCTTAGAATATTTCTGTTATATAATTTGTTTGTTGTTATGTGCTTTCCAGTCACCTGCGCTATATTGAGCCAGTCTCACTGACTGACACGCCTACCCCTATTATCCCAGTTACTGAATCAGTCCATCTCATCTGAGATCTTCCTCTCCTGTGCTTTCCCTCTACCCTTCCAGAATGATGTCTTTCTAAGGACTGGACCTTCCTAGCTACGCGCCCAAAGTATGTGAGACAGAGCTTCAAAATCTTAGCCTCCAAGGAGAAACTTTGTTTCACCCTCTCCAAGACATACTTATTTTTTTTTCTGGGAGGTCTATAGTATGTTTAAGACTCTTCTCCAGCCCCACTGTTCAAAGGCATCGGTTCTTTTTCTGTCATCCTTAGTCATTTTCCAGCTCTCTGATTCACGACAAGTAATTTGCCTTGCCTAGATCAGGTCCACCCTAGGCTCTGGACTGACAACATTGCTTATCAGTTCCCTAGAGAGGTCCCTGACAGCAGATGTTCCCAGTGCAATTCATCTTTTGATTTCCGGACTGCTGGTTCTGAGTGTTGACTATGGAGTTGAGCATGCTGAAGCTGTTAACAATCTCAATCTCTTTTCCACCTCTCGTGCTGCCAGTTGCCCCAGTTGTCTTCTTGATGTTGAGGTTTAATCCATATTGAAGATTATAGTCCTTGACCTTCTGCAGCAAGCACTTGAGGTCCTACTCACACTTCAGCATGTAAGGTTGTATCATCTGCATAATGTAGGTTGTTGATGGATCTTCCTACAATCCTGATGCCACATTCCTTATAAAGCCCAGTCTCCTGAATGATGTGTTTTGCATATAGATTAAAAATGTATGCAAACAGGTTGCATCCCTGATGCACTTCTTTCCTGATTTTGAACCACGGAGTATTTCTTTGTTCTGACTGCTGCTTGATCTGAGTATAGGTTTCACATGTGCAAAATGAAGTCTTCTGGCATTCCCATTTTCCTGAAGGTCAGCCACAATTTGTTGTGATCCACACAGTCAGATTTGTTCATATGGTCAAAGAAACAGATAGATATTCCTCCTGTACTCTTGCTTTCTGCCAAGATCCATCTGACATTGACAGTAAAGTCTCTATTGCCACGACCTTTTCTAAAACCAGCTTGCATTTCTGGTAGTTCCCTGTCAATGTACTGTTCTAGTTGTTTTTGGACAATCTTCAGCAGGATTTTGCTTTTGTGTGATATTGTTTAAGAATTTCCACACTCTGTTGGGTCGCCTTTATTTGGAATGGGAATAAATATGAATCTCTTTCAATGAGTAGTCTGGGTAGTTGTCTAGGAAATTTATTTATTTGCTTGGAGGTGACTCTGTATTTTACTCTTTCTTTAAAAACTTTTTTTTTAAATTTTTAAGTTCGTGGTACTAGGGATATTTTAGCTAATGTTAGATGGATCTTTGCTGAAAGCAGAGAATATCAGAAGAATGTCTATCTGTCTTTCATTGATACAAAGGCATTTGACTGTGTGGACAGACTGTGGCTAACTATGAGAAGAATGGGAATCCCAGAACACTTGATAATGCAAAACCTGTACTTGAAACAGGAGGCATTCGTCAGAATAGAGCAAGGAGACACTGCGTAGCTCAAAATTGGGAGGATGTACGCCAGGGATGTGTCCTATCTCAGTATCTTTTCAATCTGTATGCGAATAGATTATCTGGGAGACTGAGCTCTGTGAGGATAAATGGAGCATCAGGATTGGAGGAAGACTCATCCATAATCTGCATTATGCAGATTACACAACCCTGCTTCCTGAAACTGAGGAGGGGACCTGCAGCACTTTCTGTAGAAGGTCAAGGACTGCAGCCTTCAATGTGGATTGAGGCTCAAGAAAACAGATTCTCACCACTGGGCCCATTGGCAGCGTCATGATAGATGGTAAAGAGGTTTGCTTGGCTCCATAGTCAACACTCTTGGCACCAGCAGCCAGGAAATTAAGAGACATATTTTTATGGGCAAGTCTGCTGTTAGAGACCTCTCCAAAGTACTGAAGAACAGTGATGTCAGTCTGCAGACAAAGGTGCATCTGATACAGGTCATGGTTTTTGCAGTTGCGTGCTATGCATCAGAGAGCTGGACAGTGACTAGGGATGATAGAGAATTGATTCTTTTGAGCTGTGGTGTTGGAGAAGAATATTGAATATACCATAGACTGCTAAGAGAACAAATAGGTTCATCCTGGTGAGGGTTAAGCCGGGCTACTCCTTGGAGGCAAGAATTTTGAAGCTTCACTTGACATACTTTGGACATGTTGCAAGTCGAGACCAGTCCTTGGAGAGGGATGTCATACTTGGGAGAGGAAGACCCTCTGTGAGATGGATTGATTCAGTGACTTGGGGTAATGGGGCTAGGGGTGTCAGAAACAGATTGGCACAGGATAGAGTAAGGTATAGAGCTGTTGTACATAGAATCACTCTGCGTCATAGGCGATTTGATGGCACATAACATAACAAGTTATTCTCAAATGTCTAAACGATTCAGTTCATCTTGATGTCCCCTTGACCTCATCTCTAGTTATTGTTGTGATTAATTAATTAATTAGACATCTTATTCCATCTTTTTTTTTTATTCTTTTGTTTTTATTTTTATTATTTTTGTGTGAGTGTACCATCAAATCAGATCTGACTGGTACAGGAGGAGATTGTCCCTCCTTCCCCGGCAGAGCATCTGGTGGATTCGAACCGTGCGCCTCTGGTATTATAGTTGCAGCTCCTTGCCACTAGGCCACCAGAGCTCCCCTGTTCCATCTTTTTTACATTATCATGCTCCTTTTTTTCCCTCTAGTCAGAACTGACACCTAGAGGATCATTCATTGAGTGTCTGAAGCTATAAATCACAAGAGAAGAATTGGCCATCATTCGCCCTCTGATTCACTGGTGGAATCAAACTGCTGGAGAATTTCTTTGGATTACTACTGTCCTTCACCTCCCTACATATTGTACCAGCATAAAGCTCTAGTTAGTAAGTTAGATCGTTCAGTAATGAAACTGAAATAATTTCACAAGGACAAGGTTTCCTCAGTAGAGCATCAGAGAAAACAGGTCTGTCTACATCCAAGTTGTTTCCTTGGTAGGTAGCCAATACCCTGATGCCCTTCACCTGTTGTCAACTTGTAATATAGTATCTGGAAAAACTGCTCATTCTGGAAGAGGCAAACCATGCTAACTGAGAGGGAATCAGTATTACAAAGCCTAGGCCAGCTTTCAATAAATTATCTTCATATAGTGCAGTATAGAACAAGAGCAGGGGGAGTTTGAAATGGTGGGAACCAGAATCCGTTGTGTTGTCTCTGTCCTTTTGTTCTTTCAGTGTGTGCTTTTGAAATTTTAACCTTAATATTTTGAATTTCAGTTTGCTGCATTTGTGTTTTTTCTGTTCTTTATCTATTTGGTTCTCCATTTTTAAAATGTCTGTAGTTTTATGTTGCGTGTGTATTATGCTATGTCATTGTTGTTCCCCACCCTCATCCCAAGATTTTATCTGTTGTTTCCTTGAAATTTTTCTCAATTTAAGACAATTATCTTTGTATTTTCTTATTTCTTACAAGGAAGTTCCAATAGCATTTATTCCTCTGGTTTTTCATTTTGATAAGATTTTCTTCATCCCTTCCCCTTTATTCCTATTGATTTAAAGTTGTCCTTTACCTCCATTATACTGTTGTATTTTTATCTTTGTATTATTTTTATAGTTTATTTTTTGTACTTTTTAGTTGTACTACTTGATCATTTGATAGTGCTGTTTACTCATTTAGTAATTCTCTGTTTGTGCTTTTCTGTCTTTTTCTTGGATATGTTAGAAGATGAAAGTGTTTGCAGTTGACTTTTTTCCCCCCCTGCCTCTTTTTTTTTTTTTTTTAAATTTTTATTATTTTTGTGTGAGTGTACCATCAAATCAAATCTGACTGGTACAGGAGGAGATTGTCCCTCCTTCCCCGGCAGAGCATCTGCTGGATTCGAACCGTGTCTCTGCCTCTTTTTAAACAGTCCCTCCCTAAGGACTATCCACACTTACCTTTGTATCCAAAGACGAAATTTGTAGGTGAAAGGAGTTAGCCTTAGTTACACACCCATTAATTTCAGGGTCCAAAATATGGAACGCTTCACGAATTTGCGTGTCATCCTTGCACAAGGGCCATGCTAATCTTCCCTGTATCGTTCCAATTTTAGTATATGTGCTGCCGAAGCGAGCACTGCAGTTGACTTTTTTGGTATATGTGGGGTTTGTGTTTTTTTTTCCCTTCCTTCTTTTTCTTTCTTATTGAATACTGTCGAATCAGATCCAACTGGCCCATGAGGAGGTTGCCCCTCCTTCTCCAGCAGAGCATCTGGTGGATTTAAACCATGTGCCTTTAGGATTGTAGCGCAGCTTCTTGACACTAGGCCACCAGAGCTCCCTTCTATTGATGATTTTTGTTGAGCATTTCAGAGCAGATTGGGCTGGAGTTGAGTGCAGTCTTTTGGTGATCATGTTAAGCAGGAGGTGATTTTTCCTTTTGACCACAGGGTGGTGTATATGTCTCTTGATACAAGACAAGTTTAGACATTTTAAAAAAATTAGAAACACCTAAAAGGAAGGAGTGTCAGAATAGAAGGGTAAAAAGGAGGAAAAACCAAAGTAGCGAAATAGAGCGGAAAGACCTTCAGGAGAAAGGAAAGAAGCTAGACAATAACAGAATTGGAAATACTCATTAAACAGAACTCCAACAAACCCTTAATAGCTATTTGAAATCACTACTTGGATTTTGTTTACTTTTCTAAGAAACACTGATGCGCTAACTACTACTGTGGTTTCTAGAACCAAGGTCTCTGGGTTGTGACAGTGTGTCTACCTATCTAATGTGAGATTGGGATACTTGTCAGAGTTTCTGTTTATGTGAGAGGATCCTGAGTCTGTAAAATGTGACCCAGGTCAAGTGTGATCAAGGATTTGTCCAGGAATGGAGCACTTACCCTGGAACAGAGTTTGTTTTGTCACAGAGGAGCCTAGGATACTCTGCCAGTCCTTACTATCTACAGTTCAAAATGGTCAAGCTGTGCTTCTTGAAGTTTTTGTTTATTTACTTTTTATTTATTTATTTATTTTACCTTTTTATTTTGTGTGTCAAGATGTCTTGCCTTTGTATGGTGGTTTTCATTCATTTTTTCTTTGGAGTGCTCTTTATGTTTACCTTAACAACCCAGCATTTCACAATTATCACCTTGCTTTTCTAGTGTCTTTGTGGAAGAGTTTCTGGAAATCTACGTTTCTTTTTTAATTTTTTTTATTATTATTAATTTCAATGAAAATTTACAGACTTTGGATTGCCCTTCATTCATTGTTGCGCTTTTCTCCCCACCCAGCCCTCCCCCCACAATAGTTACTTTAAAGACTTTTTGCCTTTAAATGTGTAATATCATGATGTGTCACCAGTTTTTACTCTCTACTATCAGTGTTTATAAAATCCCTATTTTCTTTTTGTAGCTTGTCCCCCCAATAGGAATGCTGAATAATCCTATGAATGCAGTAACAACAAAATTTGTTAGAACATCAACAAATAAAGTGAAGTGCCCAGTTTTTGTTGTCAGAGTAAGTATTATATTGGATACTTTTTCAGAGTAATGTAAATTGCTTATTGTATTTCATAGGATAGAGAAGCAAAAGTTTAAGTTTCTAAGTTTCTAATAAGAACCAGTGTATTGTTAATAATTTTATTTTAGCTACTTACTGTATCCTCTGTGTTAAGATTTACTAAGAATACTAAATATTTTAGTTTTGCCTTTCTCACCTTATGTTGCAATTTTTATAGAATTTTTTTTTTAGTTTACCCTGACTAGGAATGTTTTCATAGTAGTGTTTTTTATAGTAGCAGTGCATTCTGTGGTTTTAAATTTTCAGAAAGAGTTCTTGTATATCTCAAGATGAATTAAGTTTACTAATTGACATTAGTATAGAAATACCTTAGAAAAGTTGAATCTCTCTGTTGAGGTTGTTAGGTGCCCTTGAGTTAGCTGTGACTTACAGCAATTCCAACAACAGATCTGAATATTGCCTTATCCGACACCGTCTTCATTATCTATTGATCATTATGCTGAGAAAAACCCTCACCAAGATGGATTGAGAAAGTGACTACTACAGTGGGCTTTGAGAATGACAGATACAATGTTATAGCAGACGTGCTTATAAAGTTGTTTTAAAAAGTTTGTTGTTTTTTTTTTTTACTTGTTATCGTAGATCCTTTATTCTTGCTGAAATATTCTTCCCTTTCATCTATTTTTAAAATTTTCTACTAATTTTTCATAAAAATAATTTTATTAAGATTATACAAAGTAACATATACATCAATTCTACACCTTTAACATTTTAATTGTGATTTTAATAAAACTTTACAGAGAAGGTAGATTTTTCATTTATTCATTGTTTAACATTTTACCCTTTCTTCTTTCCTTCCCCTGTCCTCCAGTTCACTTTTTTTTTTTTAAAAAAAAACCCCCCCCCCCCATTTTCTTTGCAGTGATTTATGTACTTCTTCTTCTGGGCTGTTGTCATACATATAATGCCTAATCACATATTTCCTTTAAACAATTTTTTTCCTTCATCTTTTCTAATGCAGTGTTCATTATCTGTCCTCTTATCCAATTCTGCCAATCTCCCATGTCAGACCTTGTTTATGACAGTGGTGCTATGCAGTATTTGTTCATTTGAGACTGAGATATTTTACTCAGCATAATGCCCTCCAGGATCCACCATGTTGTAGAACGCTTTATGAGTTCCTTATTTGTCAGTGCTGCCTAGTATTCCACTGTTTAACTATACCATAGTTTTTCTATCCATTCATTTGTTGATGTCACTTGGATTGCTTCCATCTCTTTGCTGTTGTGAATAATACAGCAATTAACATGGGTGTGCATACATCTATTTGAGTTGTGACTGTAGGTTTTGTGTTTTTTGTTTGTTTGTTTTTAAGGATATATTTCTAGTAGTAGAATTGTTGGTTCAAATGATACTTCTATTTCCATCTTTTTTAGAAAGCAGCAGATGGCCTTCGTAGCAGTTGTACCATTTTACATTCCCACCAGCAGTGAATAAGAGTTCTCACATCTCACCTTGCCAGCATTTGTTGTTGGGTTTTTTTTAAGCAGTTTTGCAGCCCAGATGTACTTTGCTATTGTTGCTGGGGTGTGATGATATAGTTGTTTTGATTTGCATATCTGATAGCTAGGGATTTTAAACATTTCTTAATGTGTTTGCCCTCTGAATGTCTTTGGTGAAGTATCTGTTTATATCCTGTGTCCATTTTGTAGTTGGGTTGTTTGCCTTTCTCTTGTCGAGGTGCTAGAGTATTCTTTAAGTTTTAGATAAGAGTCTTATATGTCCTTGTTGTGACCCATAAGGACCCTATGTGTTCTGAGGCAGTCTCAGTAATTCCAATGCGCCAACCCCCATTGCCATAGTCATTTTATCATTCCATCTCATCTGGGATCTTCCTCTCCTATGCTGTCCTTCCAAGCATGATGTCCTTCTCCAAGGACCGGTCTCTCCTGGCCACGTGCTCAAAGTATGTGAGATGGAGCTCCAAAATCATAGTTTCCAAGGAGAAACTTGATCTCACCCTCTCCCAAGACAGACTTACTTGTTTTCTTGGCAGTCCATGGAATGTACTCTTTTCCAAGCACCACAATTTGAAGGCATCGATTCTTCTTCTGTCATCCTTTGTGTCATTGTCCAACTCTCGAAATATGTCATTACCATATATATTTTTTTTTGTCCAATCGGTGTATTTTGTATTCTGTTGGAGAAGTTTTTGATGTGCACAGGGATTTGATTTTTAGAAGGTCCCATTCATATATTCTCTCCTGGTTGAAGGTTAAAGAATATAAGTACTTAAGGAAGAAAATTATTGCTAATTTAAAAAAAAGAAAAAGAAAATTATTGCTAATTAAGATTCAAGGACTTCAAGGAATGTTTTTTGTTTAAAGCCTAAACATTGTTTCTAGGCATTATTTTTCTGAGTTTAACTTCTCTTCCACTTAATAGTCTGGAGTTCCTGAGAACTTGAAATTCTTTTCTTTTGATCATGATTCTTCTCTAGAATCATTGTTCAAAATATTTAGTGAAGAAATTTGAATACCATCTGCTTCTGGCTTTGTGGCAAATTTGTCCTTTGGATTAATAGCTTCTCTGGGTCTTTTTATTTTCTTGTGTCTTCTTTGTCCTGGACAGAGGGAGACCAGTAGGTGTGCCTTAGATTGGTGCTGTCAAACTTTTAAGACGGCAGTTGTGTGTGCAGTATATTTTAATACCTTCTGAACTTACCCTGGAAAACTTTTTTTCTGAATGTGTAAAATAGAAGTATTTTATTTTGTATCATGTTAGGTGTAATTGTAGTTGGGATTGAAGCTAGAAAGTTGTAGGAGAAAAGTGCACAATAGAAATATAATTAAATAATTACATAATACTATTAAATTTGAAAGTGTAGTAGTCAGCAGTGTGACTCATAATTTGATAGGGAGTTTAGCACAGGCTTTGTCATTCCTTTATACTGTGAATGCAAGAGAAGCACAAAGAACAACAGAAGAACAAAGTTGTTTTTGATCCTCCCAGTGGTAGTTGTACTAGCCAGCAAACATTTGATAAACTTGATAGTTAAGCTGATTTATCTTGTTACTATGTCTTTTCATAAAATGTTCAAATATTTTTGCCTTGGATTGGACCACTAGCTGTTTTAGTAAACAGAATCCTTCATCTTTTCATGTTTTCTGGTGACTTGGTTGATTATGCCCACTGAGTCCTTGCTGGTATAGACTTTTGAATGCTTTGTTGTTAACTGAAAAGTTGACAGTTCCAGTCAGCCTGGGATACCTTAGAAGAAAGTTGTACTTTTTTTTTTTTAAATCACTAGGTTTTTATTTATGTTGTCAAAATGCTTTATAATTGTCTTTTTTTTTAAATTTTTTTTTATTGGGAAAAACATATTGGGGGTACAAGGAGGTGAGGGTTGGGGGCAGAAGGGTGAGGATGGGCCAGGATGCAGTTGCAGAGCTGCACAGTTTGGTCAGTGGGGGGAGCAGGTGAAGGAAATGATGAGGGTCCAGTGGGGACCAGATGCTACAGAGGAATGACAAGCATTTTCCAATAGTAATTAAACCAACTGTCTTATTGATTTGGGAATTGGATGCCGACTCTCTGGCTTCTTCATGCTGAACAGGGGCGTAGATATAAAGGGGGGACGGGAGGACGCTTTATCACCTTACTGGTGGTCTTGGGTTACAGCTGCTTGCCTTCTTGCTCCTGAGGGCCACGATGGTTCGCCCCGAGCCAGGGGCCAAGCGCAGCCCGCCCCGGGCAGAGGGCCGAAAGTTGTACTTTTAAAGCTCACAACTATCTGAAGCTCTCTTTACATTTTACGACATGAAGTTGCCAGAAGTTGGGATGAACTCAGAGACAGCTGGTTTTGTTTTTGCTGTATATTAGAAAAATAGTCTTTACATGTTTTGTCTTCAAATGTTAGCCTTCAGTGTTTATGCACATGTAAAACTTAACCAAGTGCTCATAATACTCGATATTTTATTTTATGTGTTAATATGCTTGAGCTTCCCTTGCTCCATTTAGTATAAGTTCTTTTCTGAGAAAGTGCTTGGTTATAAATTTGAGCTGTGCTAAAGCCACTGTCTTCTACTAAATGTCAGTTATTTTAGAAGTAAACAATTTATTTGTTTTAAAAATTGATACTAACCTGTGTTACTTTCTTTCCTAGTGGACTCCAGAAGGAAGACGATTAGTAACTGGAGCTTCCAGTGGAGAATTCACCCTATGGAATGGACTCACTTTCAATTTTGAAACAATATTACAGGTAACTATAATAAATAATTTTATAGTGTGCTGCAATACTTGAGATACATGTACTTTTTTGGCATTATTAAAATTACAAATAGGCAGGCATATCATTGGGGAGCCAATTTATATTCTTGATGCTTTGTCCTAAAAGAAAGGTGATCTAGTAGAAAGGTTAGACTGCTTTTTAGTTGTGGAAGGAGCAGAGGTGGCTGAGTCTGTCTTCTACCCACTTCATAAAGGGGAACTGTCCGCAAACATCTGCTAGGTCAGACATGCCATCCCCAATAGTCCTGCCACCTATTTTCAGCAGTCATTAAGTTCAGCATTTTTTGTTTGACTCAGTCGCTGTGCTACTGAGAATGAGGTTTATTAGGGAAATAAATTGGAGAGTTGGGGCAATGTAAATCCAGGTTTTATCCCAACAGTCGTAAGGCACAATTCCTTAGTTAAGAGTCACATTTCGGTTCAGCAGTCAGCTTTTCCTTCTATCATCCAGCAAGAACAGCAAAACTTTTTTATCTGTGGCCTTTATCTCAGTGCTGCTTTGAATTCACTTCGCTACAGTTTCTCCTCATCAATGCCACAGTCTCTTTACCACCATTATCCCGGGGGTCTCGCTCTCACCAAGGCCTTTCTCCAGTCTCCCTCAAGTTATATTCCTGTATCTCTTGGATTAATTGAAAAAGTGAACCAACAGAACTTGGGAACTATTGAACTATCACCTGCAAGCAAAATAGTTCATTCAGAAGCACCTAGAGCAGAACATAGATAGGAGATTTCCACAAGTTCAAGCAGGATTTAGAAGAGGCCGTGCACCAGGGATAATATGGCTGATGTCTAGTGGATCCAGGCAGAATGTAAAGAATACCAGAAGATTGTTTCTTAATGCTTTAATGACTATAGCAAGTTATGACTGACGCTGGGACGAATGGGAATCCCAGAGCACTTAATTTTTGCTCATTCGAACCTATACCTGGACCAAAATGCAGAGCAGTGGAACACTGTATGGTTTAAAATTAAGAAATGTGTTATGGTTGTATTCTCTCTCCGCACCTATTCAGTCTGTATGCTGATCAATTTATTTGAGAAGCTAGACTTTATGAAGAAGAATGTAGCATCAAAATCCGAGGAAAATGCATCTGTAACATTCATTATGCAGATGACAGAACCCTGCTTGCTGAATGTGAGGAGGACTTGAAGCACTTACTGCAGAAGACCAAAGAATGTAGCCTTTATTGTGGTTTATCACAACATAAAGAAAACAAAAATTATTGCCACTGAACCAAACATCATAATAGATGGAGAAAAGATTGAAACTGTCAATGATTTCATCTTAATTGGATCCACAGTCAACACTCTTGGTACCAGCAGTCAGGAAATCAAGAGATAATATTACATTGGGAAAGTTTACAGTTACATCCAGATTACTAAGGAGTAATGATGTCAGTTAGAGCTAAGGTGCATCTGATGTAGGCCGTGTTCTTTCTGATCATTTACTCTGCATCTGAGAGCTGGACAATGAATAAGGACAGAAGAATTTTGATGCCTTTGAGCAGTGGTGTTGGATCATCCCATGGACTGCCAAAAGAACAAATAAATCTTGGAGAAAGTGCTACTGAAATCTTTCTTGCAGACAAAGATGATAAAGTTTTGTCTCACATACCTTGGGCATGTTGCTAGAACTATTTCTTGGAGAGGGACATGATGCTTTGAAAGAAGGTTGGCAAAGGATAGGAAGATCCTCAAATAGGTGCATTGACCCTGCTGCAGTGGGCTCTGGTATATAGGATGTGTGAGGATGACACACAATGGGACAGGATTCAGAATCATTTTAGACTCACTCTTGTACTTGATGGCACTTAACAACAGCAACAACAATACCTTGGATTACATACCCTTTGTACCTTATAAATGTTTTCTGTCTTCACAGGCTCATGACAGCCCAGTGAGGGCCATGACTTGGTCACATAATGACATGTGGATGTTGACAGCAGATCACGGAGGATATGTGAAATACTGGCAGTCGAACATGAACAACGTCAAGATGTTCCAGGCACATAAGGAGGCGATTAGAGAGGCCAGGTTTATACACAATATACCATTTTATGTAGTCCCTGTTGTCATGGTTAAACGATTTTCTAAGTGTATTTTCAGTGCAGAGATGCATGGGCTCTGTCAGATCCTAGGAATCTTTCTGCACCTTAAAAACACAGTATTTTTCTTTGTTTTTCACACATTTACCAATTTGCTGGCACTTTTCTGAAGTAGTGTGGCCTTTGCAATAAGTTGGAGATGTATTGTCTGCCGCATTTTGCGCTGGTTTTCTCTTCATTTATGGTTAATCATGTGTATTCCGTATTCCTTTTTATTGACTACTATGTAAGACAAGAATATTTTATTCCAAATAAAGAATCCAGTATTTACATAACTGAATAAAATCTTAAGCTTAAAGAAAACACCTTCAGAGTTCACACAATATAAGACAAAAGGCTTAAATGAAGAAATGGGTGGCTTGTTCATTCCATGACTTAAAAAGAATAGTAGGACAAAAATTCGTCACAGATAACTCTGGATGTGGCAAACAGTATGTATTAATCATGGGTTCTTCAAACTTTGAAGCTGTAAGCACAGCATTGTCAAGAAGATTCTAGGATTTCTGCTTCACTGTTGGTGACATGAGTTACGCAACTGTTCAAGAAGTAGAGTTTATTTTAAGTTCAGTGGATTATATATTTTTACGTACCAGTGAGATATGTAAGGTAAAACTGGGTGGGGGGAGGTGAAGAAGCTTCAAATAAGTCTGAAGAATTGCTGCAGCCTCAGAATAAAGCTAAGCAGCGTTCTTTAGGGTGGTGGTCCACTCCTGTGTGACAGGAGTTTGAAATTCTTGTGGAACCATTTCACTGTACTTGTTCCTGCCTTCAGAATCTTAACACAAATTACTGGATGTTTCTGTTTTTAAGGACTTGACCTATTATCATTCCTGTACATTGAGTTTCCACACATGATACATTCTTATATATTGGAACTAGAAATTCAACTGCTTTCTTAGAGTTGAGAAACCTAATGGTCTTTCACAGCAAAGAGGAAAAAGTGTCTCCTTCTTACTGAGTTCTTTGCATTTAAATCCAAGTCTGAACCTACTTTTCTTTAAAGGAACCAACCTCATTCATGAGATAGCTTACCAGGAAGAAGGTGTGCAAGTTTTCCTGAGATCTTTTAATTAATGAAGAAAATCCCAAAGTATGGATGGGTGATAACCAGTCTTTTCTATAGCCAGGTTGAGGTTTGGGAGTGTTTTAGCTCCCTCCACCCCCAGCTTATCATTTGACATAGGATCTGATGGAGATGGAGAATGTCATGTTCATTTTTGAGCAGTATTCCAGTGTGATTTAGAAGACCATTACTATGAATATTTCAAACAGAATTAATTTTGTTTTACCAGTTGTCGATACAGATCTATTTTTAATTTTTTTTAATCTGTTGTAAGACTAGTCTTTTGTGGGAAGTAGGAATTACATCAGTACTAAAAATACATAGATAAATTTGTCTACATATTGATGAGTAAAAATTAACACCTTTTCATTAAGATACATATGCTAGCTGACACAAATCTCTTTCAAGGGCTTTTCCACCATTGCATACTTCCCCCTTCCTGTTTATAACTCAGCACAGTGTTTGATTTTTCCATGAGAAGCACAGATAATCCGTTAAATGCTGACTTCTTTCCCCCCTCACATAATGACATGTGGATGTTGACAGCAGATCACGGAGGATATGTGAAATACTGGCAGTCGAACATGAACAACGTCAAGATGTTCCAGGCACATAAGGAGGCGATTAGAGAGGCCAGTTTCTCACCCACGGATAATAAATTTGCTACATGCTCTGATGACGGCACTGTTAGAATCTGGGACTTTCTTCGTTGCCATGAGGAAAGAATTCTCCGAGGTATGTGTACTAACAGTACTCATTGGAATATTTAAATAGGGAAGGCATCTGTTGTTAAAAACATCACAGTATCATAATACCACAATATTCACTTCTATCTTTATTCAGGTGGTTTTTCTTTCTGTTAAAAAATCTGTACTAACTTTATCAGGCTCTTCCAAAGAACCTACACTTTTTCTCATATACTATTATTTTAAAAATTTTACTCCTAATCTTAGTTTTTAGTTACTGTATTTAAATTCTTGTTTTTTAATATTTAGACCATCTCTATCATACTTTGTTTAAAAAAACAACAAAACCATAAAAAACAAACCCCCAAAAGTGAACATCTGATCTTTCAGGTTTTTTTGTTTGTTTGTTTGTTTGTTTTTTTTTAATTTTTTTCTTACTATTAGTTATTTTTTAATTTTTTAAGGAATGAAATACAAGTGTCCTGTCTAGGTTTGTGCTGCTCAGTATGCCTGTGTTAGGGCTTTGTTAAATTTTCTCTCTTGTTCCAAGAATACCTTTTCCTAAAATACTAACTATACTTAATTGAGTAGTTAATATTTTCTCTTTTGTCTATTTTTAGTATGAATTAATTTGCAAGATAAAGATGCCGTATCTGTCTTCTCGGAATTTGTATTTATAAAAGCAGTTGATCTTGTAGTATAGCATTTTTATCACTTAGCCCTCTTGAACCTAAATTTAGGACAGATAACTTGGTTACGTTATTAATTAACCTTTATGAATTCATGCTGTTAATGAGATTCAAATTATCACTTGGATTTGCTTAATTTTAGACTTCATAACATGGAAAAGTTGTAAACTTAACTCTCACTATAATCAATGTATAGATTAAGTGTAGTTACAAAATGCATTGCATCCAGTGCATACAGAAGTGCAATACATACATCAAAGAAAAACATTTACATTTCTTACTGAATCCCACTAATTTAGTAGTCAGATTTAGAAAATTTAGATTTCTAAATCTGACTAATAAATTTGTGTTACTTAAAAAAAAGCCACTCAAATTCATTGCCTCAGAACCTGGTTGACTCTGCTAGGTTTTTGGAGGTTATAAGTCCATAGGATGATGTTACCTGCCTTTCTCCCTTTGAGCCACTAGTGGATTTGAATCACTAAAAACTGCTGTGTATGATATCTGGGTTGGCAAGGCAACTCCCTACAGATTACGCTGACAGAGCTCCAGTGTTAGGACTGTGAAAGCTGTTTTCTTAGCCACACTCTATGCTTTTGCTTTCTGTATGCCCTACATGTAAAGTCCTTTTCTCATGCAGACTTAACATGGGCGATTTGGTGCTGTAGACAAGGGCTACTCAAAAAAGTTTTCCCTCTGTTCAAGGAAGTTAAGGTATTAATTATAAATTTTATAAATATCATTATAAAGTATATAGGAAAAGACAGTTACTGGCGATTTTGAGCCATTTGGTAAGATCACTTTTGCATAAATATTTCTGACTTTGTACAATTTTGATGGATTTCATTTTCAGCTACAGAAATTGATGAGGATACCTAGCAAAATAATACAGCATCTACTGTATATCCATACTATGAAGACAATCATATTCTGTACTACTCTGTTACATTGTTATGGACTGTCAGATTGGAACTGACTTATAGCTGACCCTACAGTGGATTTTCAGAAGTGGTAATTCCTCTAAAGATAGAAGTGTGCCTTTCTTCCTTCCATGGAAAAGCTGGTGTGTTTGAACCCTGTTCATTATCAGTAAGCCATTATAGTTCCCTATGTACTGTAGGAAGGTATTAATAATTTATCTTGAGTTTATTTATAGGTAAGCATGAAGATCCAAGAGACTTATTGACGTTGGTATTAGGTGCCATTGAGTCAAGTACGATCCTTGCCGACCCTGTGAACCCAGTTATATCCTATGTCATCCTCACAAACTCTTGACACATAAAGCTCATTGCTGTAGTCAGTGTGTCAGTCCACCTGATTAAGGAGCTTCCTTTCTTTTACGAACCCTTCACATTTCCCACCATAATGTTCTTCTCAGGGAGTAGCCTCTCCTACCACCATGCCCGAAATATGTGAGATGAAGCTTTATCCAAGGAGTACCCTGGATGCACTTTGTCTAGGACATACTTGTTTGTTCTTTTGGCAGTTGATGGGATGTTCACTACTCTTCTCCAACCCCGCAACTCAAAAGTTGTCAGTTTTTCTTTGGTTTAAATGGTCGCTTAAATGACATAGTAAACATAAAATTAGTTCAGAGCCTGATTAGAATTTTATTCTTTGTCCCAGCATTATGTTTTTTATCTCTATTAGTTGAAATTGTAATTGTTAAATATTATAATGTGTTTAGACTTTGGAAAGCCTTAGCAGTATAGAATGGACAAAAACATTTTATGAACAGTAATTCTATGGTGTCAGAACATTTTTCTTTTATTAATTTTTTTTATTATTATTTTGTGTGGGTAGCATCAAATCAGATCTGACAGGTACAGAAGGAGATTGTCCCTCCTCTAGCAGAGCATCTGGTGGATTCGAACAGCGCTCCTCTGGGATTGCAGTACAGTTTTTTGCCACTAGGCCACCATAGCATTCCAGAACATTTTATTTATTTATTTTTTAATATTTTAGTTTATTTTTCATTTCAGTGAACATCT